TTGGTTTTTTAAAAGGGTATAAAGGGGGGGTTTTTTTTTGGGGGGCCCCTTGTGGTTGTTTTTTCCTTTTTTTGGGGGGGGGCCTTTTTTTTTGGGGTTTTTTTTGGTCCGGTGGGGGGGGTGGGGTGTGCCCTTTTTTTTTTTTTGGGGATAAAAATTTTTTTTCTTTTTTTTAAAGGAAAATTTTTTTTTTTGGGTTGAAAAATTTTTTTTTTTGCCTTTTAAAAACTTTTTTTTTTTATTTAAAAAACCCCCCTTTTTCCCCTTTTTTTAAAAGTTTTTTCCCCCCCTTTAAAAGCCCTTTTTTTGTCCCCCCTAAAAAACTTTTTTTTCCCCCTTTTTTGGGGGAAATTTTTGCCCCCCCCCCCCCCCCCCCCCCCCCCGGCCGCAGGACGAGGATGCTGCTTCCCTTTCCACGCCCCCTGACAACCAGCAGCAGCAGCAGCAGCAGCAGCAGCAGAGGGAGAAAGCGGCCTTCTTCCGGCGCTCGCTTCCGCTCCCGTCGATCCAGTCCCAGCGAGCGGTGGCCGAGAGGGCCGTGAGGAGGGCCAAGGCGGCGCAGAGGGCGGTGGCGGAGCGGACGGTCAAGAGGGCCAAGGTGGCGCTGGGCACCGCCTTCGACGACCTGGGCCTCACGCGACCACCGGTGAGAGGGCGGCGGGCTGTTTTTTGAGAGTTTTGGGGGGCTCTCCTTCCATGTTTTACAGAAGTATGCATCCAATTCAATGGCAGGCTACCCGTTTGAGAATAACCAAGAGCAGTTGGAGGGGATGGGTTGAGGTCTTTTTTTTTTTTTTTTTCTTACTATGACACAATAAATCCATCTCTATCTACAGAAAAAAGTCTAAGATAGGTTAGCAATGAAATCCAGTGTTTTAGTTCGATTTGGTTGTACAGGCGGAAACATTAGTTTGACGGGGGCGGGGTTGGAAAAGTTATGATAGATAGTGCTGTTGTTTTTGGTGTCGATTTGTGTGTACGGCGGAGACGGTAGTTGAGGGGATGTAAGGGTTGAAAACGGTATGATACGATTAAACGTTGTTTAGGCTTGTCGATTGAGCGTAACAGGGCAGAGCGGGAATGGTCGTGCCGCCGGACGGGTTGCACTTAGGATGATGGCAGCACTTTTGCCGCTGATTTGTGGCGGTGTTTGTCTTGCAGATGAAGGACGCAAAATATGGGCGACCGCCCCCGTCGGACGACCTGGGCCGTAAGCGTTGCATGCGTGCGGGGTGTATTTATCTCTTATCGAGCGATCCGATCGATCGATCGATCCATGACCGGCCGGGGAGAAAAATTGACTGTTTTTTTACTTTGTTTTTCGTGTTTGCGACATCCCGAGTTGAAGGTGAGATTCACTCTGCGTTGACAGGCTGTGATGCTGCTTGCCTGAGGAACGAGAGGCTCTGTAGTAACAGAAGCGGGACGTCGTTTTTGCTGTCTAAAGAAATAATACTTGGTAATATTACTCTTCGTTTCGTTGTTCTGAAAGTATTCGTGTGTTCCGTGTCGTTTTTCCGCCGCGATTGTTCCCCCGCCAACAGGTCGGGTCCACTCTGGAACGGTTTCTCCACGCGGACGAGGTTCTCGGCCTCTGGCGGCAGGAGGAGGCTTTGGAGGACCAGATGCAAGACGGGGACGACGTGAGATACGAACCATACATGCTCCCCCGTTCATGGGACCCCGCAGGCTGGCGCGCGTGTTTTGTGCCGTTGCGGCCCCCGGTGAACTTTGTTTCGACCAGTGGTCAAGCTCAACGAAATCATTAAAAATCGATCGCACCCCCTGATTTCTGGAAGGGTGTGTTTGTACCCCTCTTTTTGGGTATATAGTACCATGGGTAGTTGGCCTGTGACCGCGGAAGGAATGCGTTCGCGTCAGTGGGACCAAGTGGGTATTACAAATACACGAATACGGTACTGAGCGGAGACCGGAACGGTTTTTATTGTGAAAACGACGACGACGACAACAACAACAACAGCACCAACACGAACATCAACATCAACACCGACACCACCACCAACAACAACATACAGCAACACCCTTACGGTAAATCCCTGCCCGTCCGTGAGCCAGGTCCTGCCGGGAACGAACATCGGCATCCCGGAGAGGCGAATCTGGGTGGTCACCACGGCGGCGTTGCCCTGGATGACGGGCACCTCTGTCAACCCGCTCTTGAGGGCGGCCTACCTCACTAGGGGGCGCGACCCTGGCAAGGTGAGCAGCAGAGCGACAAGAGCACGGGGATATATGTAAGTAAAGGTTGAACTAGACAACAGTAGGGTGTCACTATAATAGTGTTGCTGGTAGACAGTATAATAGTGCGTCACTGCTGCTGCTGATACGTTTCGAGGCTACGCTGTGGGCGTGTACGCGGGAAAACGGCAACGTCACCCTTTGTTTTGTTTTCGTCGATTTGTTTGATCGATTTTTGTTTTGGTGCAGGCAAGGGAGTGGACAAGTCGACGAGTACCCCGAACAAAAGTACCAACTATCGAAAGCAACGATTCTTCTACGTTACGTGCCAACTAGCGAACAGCAATAGTATTATCAAGTCAAACGGATGTCTAAAATCGTGTGCTAAGACTGGGGGGCAGTTGGTTTTTTTGCCACGGAAGGTACGTCAGTTGGACCAGTACGGACATTGGAAGGTACCGAGTGGAGACCGGAACGGTTTATACTGTGAAGACAACAACAACAAAAATATTGTACGCAAATGTGCTGATGTGTGTTTTCGCGGCAACGCCAGGTGAGCCTGATGATTCCGTGGCTGGGTCTCGAAGACCAGCACTTCGTTCTCCCCGACGGGCACCGGTACGAGAGGAAGGAGGACCAGGAGGCGTTCATTAGGGGCTGGCTGAGGGGTGCCGGGATGACGAGCGAGGCTGACGACCTTCGGATCGCTTGGTATGACGCCAGATACCACCAGGTGCGTGAGCGGGTCTGGAGTGTTTTGTTGCGTGTGGATGATGCATGCTTGGAAGAAGAAGAGTCGGGTAGCCCACGAGGCTCACGCATGCAGCATCGTCGTCTGCAGCCCACAAGCGGAACGATGAGCGGCTGTATGGCTCGCCCCGGCACCAAGCTTGTACCGGGTGTACAGCACTTCGTGAAAGCTCACGCGTCTCACATGCACCCTCAACTATCGCCCGCTACCGCTACGGGCGGCTTTTCTGCACTTATTTCGAGGTCTTCAATCTATATTTCGTCCTGTGGAGAAGACAAAACGTACACATGTATGTAATATATCTCGTCTTGACAACGACCCCAGAGCTTATCGTTCAACATGGAGGGCGTTTTTTTTTTTTGGCTACACGTTGGGACGGCATGTCTTGCAACGGAATGCCAATCGTTGTGGCCTGACGAGTTGGTGCTGCGACAAAGATGTGTGCACACGCGGAGTTACCCATTTGCATGCTTTCACGCGTTCCCAGTGGGGTCGCTTGCGCCGTACCTCGGGTGCTATTTTTGTTTTTCTTCGGCTTGTGGCTTGCTAGCAACGACTCGCCCCCCATCTCCGGTACAGTCACAACGAGGAGTACTTTGCTACACAACAGTTGTCGGAGCAATATTTTGCTGTGAAGACAACAAAACATCATCATCATCAAGAACAACAACAAATATGCATAGCACCAACAACAATCTCTACAACTAACTAGCAACAGCCACCACCACTACCACCACCAACGACGAACCCTTAACCAACCGCGCGACCCCCCCCCCCCCCACCCCCCTGTTGATGGGGGGGGGGGGGTTTTTTCCCCGGGGGGAAATCCCCCCCCCCCCCCCCCC